GGGGTAGTGGGGCGACGTGGTTGGGCGGCCAAGGGGGCGGTGGCTGTGCCCACACAATAGGAACCTGCTCACAATTGATAGTGCCGATGCGACTTACAAGGCATGCGGCGGCTTGGCGGTGTCCTTGGAGGGGCTGACTGGTAAGCCAACAAGGTTGGCGGGAGGAAGGTACGGAGGGCACTACACCGACCATCGTGAAGCGCAACACCAAGAATACGCAAAAGTAACAAAAACACCCGACCCTGCCTTTAGGCCGTTGGGGAATATTTCGTGCCGGCTTGTGCTCTCTTGACATACGTGACGGACACCCGCCAGAAGATTCTTCCTTCGCCGAACGGGTGCGTCCTCTGTCTGACACTTAAAACTAGTACTGCAAAGATACGAACCCCCTATAGGCCACAGCAGTGCCCAACAAAGCTCGTATCCCCTGCAACTGGCGTCACGCTGGTCCCTCTGTGACCCCAACGCAACGAACCCTTCTCACGGAAAACTACCGCTGCTGCTCAGTGCCCACGTCGCCACTTCCTCTCCGCCTCGAAAGTACGGTGTCGCTCACGCCTCTCAGAAATCTGTCGGCTGTCTTCCTTCAGAACTTCGAAAACAATTTGGCGCCACTAACCTCTCTCAGAAGCCTGTCGGCTGTCTTCCTTCGCCGAACGGCCTGCAGGGCGGCGCCGAGGTAGTAGTGCCCCGGGGACGTGTACCCGAGCGCGCCACCTCCTCCCGCCCACCCACCCCCGCGCGCGGTTGACTGCGCGATCTGGCTCATGTGAGCACCCAGCATCTTTTGACGGTGAGCGGTGCAAAGGTCGGACGAGTCGCCGGGAGGGATACATCACCCGCGCAGATCCGCGCAGGTATTCGATATACAGAAGGCGATGAAAGGGAGAGAAGGCGAGAGCAGGAGGTTCGATGGGAGAACAAAGAACCCACACGACGAAACATTAGCAAGTAGAGACACATGCATTCAAATCACTGAAAGACTACCCGTTCGAGGCGGTGAATTACCCCTGTCGAAGGGGTGTGTTGATGTCTTTGTGTTACTCAAAGAGGGAGCCAAGCATGGCGCGACATATTCCAGACGTTTCTGGCCGGCCAACTTCAGGCTGATGCTCTTGCGTGCAATGAAGCCCCTCTCTCGCTCAGAACGTCGGACAGATAGACAAGACATGGAAGGGGGAAGGCTCGAAAACAAGCGACTCCGAGACCACGCCGCCCGGCATTCCGCTTCCGATTGCCTCAAGTTTCTTGGGGAGTGTGTACCAGAAAGGACGCGCACAGCTGCGAGAAACAGCAAACATGCGTCAAAGGGTGAACAAAACGCGACCTGGATATCTCCCAACCCCACGCACCCCGTATTCTGAGCTGCTCTTTGGACAGATAAACTGTCCTCGGTTCTTGATCTCGCCAAGATGCCAAGCAACCGCAACAACCCCCACATGCCCCTCCATCTGGTATCCGCGTTATAACTCGCTACGCCTCTGCTGGGAATGTACGTCGCCCACGAACCGAAGACCTACATCCAACAGCTCTGCCTTCGATACACATCCTCACCTCTCCGAACACGAGGTACTGCCGCGACAGCCACGCGTGGTGACGGTAAGGCACTACCCCCCACCCTGAACCCTCCCC